AGACCCTAAACCCTAAAGCCCCAACCCCTAAACCCTAAACCCCTAAGCCCCCAAGGCCCGAAATCCTAAATCCCAAATCCTGAACCCTAAACCCTAAACTCTAAGCCCTAAACCCCTAAACCCCTAAATCCTAAACCGAGCTCTCAAAATCCCCAAAACCAGTCCCAGAGGCCGCCGGTTTGCTGTTGGAGAAGGTAGACGATGGCGAGGATGAAGCGGCCCGGTTTGCAGATCGGAGTTCGGAGGGTTGGGGCTTTAAGGGTTTAAGGGTGTGTGGGGTTAAGTTTAGGGTTTAGGGTTTAAGGGTGTGTGGGGTTAAGTTTAGGGTTTAGGGTTTGGGGTTCAAGGGGGTTCGGTGCGAAAATCGGAAGTCCCCCCTCGAACCGGAACCGGAGCCTCCAACCCTCCCCCCTCCCCTGAACTGCAGGGTTTAGGGTTGAGGGTTTGGGGCCCAGGGTTGCCCAGGGTTGCCGGACCAGAACTTGCAACCCCCGCCTCCCGGGAAAAATGGCCCGAACTTGAACCGGAACCTCCACCATACCCCACCCCCCCCCCCACCCCCAACCCGAACTGGAACTCCCCCTCCCCGAACCGGCATGAACGAAATAACTACTTACTAAGTCCCCCGTCCCTCCTTACACAGCCCTTATCTATCCCTTCAAGAGGAACCCGTCAACGAACTCTACTTACTAAGTCCCCCGACCCTCCAAGTATGCACCCCAGGAGATGTCCGATGCCGAGTCGGAGGATGCCGAGATCGGCGCCGATGCCCCGAGCGCCAGCGCCATGCCTCCATACGGTTGATGGTATAAATCCTGCATTACCCATAATAAGGAATATACCATAATTCCCATAGTTTAGGGTCCTGAAGGTACTGCAGGATTTATATCATCAGCCGTAGTTTCTCTTTTGTCTGATATAGGATGCCAGGGTTTAGGGTTCAAATATATGGGCTGCCATGTTTTAGGGTTTAGGGTTTGTAGGGTGCCATGGTTTGTGGTTTAGGGCTTGGGGTAAAAGAGTTCCATAGTTTCGGGTTTTGGGTTTAGGGTTGGGTTTAGGGTTTATGTTTTAGGGTTTAGAGTTTAGGGTTTCGGGTTCTGGGTTTAGGGTTGGGTTTAGGGTTTATGTTTTTAGTGGTAGGGGTGTAGGGTCTAGGGCTTAGGCTGGATGTTTATGAGGGATCCTACAAGGGTTCTAGCCAAGGACCCTTTTGAAGGGATCCATAATATAGGGATCACATCAGCTTTTAGGGTTTAGGGGGGGTTCGATTAAGGGTCGAGGGTTTGAGGTCTATAAAGGGCGCTATAAGAGGATCTGAACGGGCCATAAGGGCCCGTATCCGGGGCTCTGCAACGGCTTCCATGCAGGTTTTCATCGCCCTTGAGGGTTAAGGGTTTGGGTGGAGGGCTCCTAGGTGTAGGTGTAGTGCATTGTAGGGCCGTGTAGGATTTCAGGTTCAGTTTCGGGCTTTAAGGCTTTAGTTCATGCAAGGTGTTGGGCTAGGGAGCTTCAGGTTTAGGCTGTGGGCTCGCTGTAGGGTGTGCGTAGACAAGGTTACTTCGATCTAGGCTGTGAGGTTTGTAGTTTGGGACGTCAGATAAATGGAGTTCCAAATGTTGAAATGGTGTCCAGTAGGTTTTTTTTTTGTGAGCGTGTTTGGACAGGGTCACTCTGAGCCTGGAAACCCGATGCCTATATATCCGGAAACAGTAAAGCCCAAAGCCGAAACCCCATAGCCAGACTGTCAATGCCCTCTTAACATGTTATATCAACACAATTGTCAAACCAGATCTAAGGCTCACGCATCACCTGAATCTGAACCTAAAGTTGCAAGCCATGCATCCCTAAAGCCTTCAAAATTGGAAATCGTGATGCCCCAAAACCCCGAAGTATTAAGATCCTAAACCCTACACCCTGAACCCGAGAACCACAACACCCCAAACCCTAAACCCTAAACCCTAAACTCCTAGAACCCCGAACACCCCAAATCTGACTCCCTCCGGCTCCTTCCTGACGACTCCCCTGACCCCCATGGCCCGAAACTCATTGTGGGTTTAGGACTCCGGGTTTAGGGTTGAGGGTTCAGGGTTTAGGGTTGAGGGTTTAAGGTTCAGGGGTTTAGGGTTTGGGGTTTAGGGGTTTGGGGTTTAGGGTCATTCTGATCAAAACGGTTTGTACTTGGGTAGTTCTCGAAATTGGAGGTCCCTGTCGGGATCGCCAGACTAGTATGCCAGTGTTCTCGCAAGGATCCCGAGAGGGACCGAGACAAGGAGAACCCGCCACAAACAAAGAGAGATAGACATGTGTATATTGTATGTGTTCGTATGTATATACATATATATGTATATGTATATGTATATGTATATGTATATGTATATGTATATGTATATGTATATATACACACACAAGACCGGATTCAGATTTGTTCTGTATCCATGTTGACCTCTAACACGCCACAATGCAGCAGCACAGCAGGTGTTAAGACCCTGAACCCCCAAACCCCAACCCCTAAAACCTAAACCCTAAAACTGAAGCCCTACCCTCCTGACATCCTAAACCTTCAATCCTATACCCTAAACCCCCAAACCCGGAACCCCACACCCCTAAACCCCTGAGCCTTCAACGCTGTCCCTGAACGAAAGCAAAGCCGCCCTAAACCCTAAGCCCTAAACCCTAAATGCTAGACCGATGTTTCGAAGATTCAGGTCCCCTGCCGGAGTTTATCGAGGTGATCCAAAGCCACAAGCGACACCTTGATGAAGCCCTTCAGAGTAAAGGGGTTTTAGGATTAGGGGCTTTGGGTTTAGAAGCACTTCAGGGTTTAGGGGTTTAGGGTTTAGGATTTAGTTTAGAGGTTTACCTGGACCCTATTAAACCTGCTTTTTAAGGGATACTGACCATGATTCCTTTATATAAGTCCTCAACAAGGTAGGATAGTTGGGGTCCAGGTAGGGTTCAGGCTTCAGGGTTTGGGGTTCAAGGTGTTTTGGATTGGGGTTTGGAGTTTCAGGTTCTTGGTTTTGGGATATGGGCATCACTTCAGGCTTGGGGGGAGTAGAGAGTCGAGCAAGTTTCGAAACAACTTAAGTTTGCCTTAGGCCCGGAATCCCTATAGACCCCGTGTACAAGGACTCCTGACAGAAACCCTAATTTGAGGAACTTGTATAGACCCCTTTAGAAAGAACCCTTACTTAAACCCTTATAGAACCCTTGAAAAGGAGCCCTTGAACACTCCTAGGCCCTAAACCCCTAAACCCAAATCCTAAACCCTAAACCGTCTAAACCCCTAAACCCTCAACTGTAAACCCTAAACCCGAAAACTCGAAACCCTAAACTCTAAACCCTAAACCCTAAACTCTACACCCTTTACCTTTAACCCTAAACTCTTAACCCTTCTAGAACACCCTTAAGGCTAGGGCTGCACATGACTCAATGTTTCAGAGGCCTCAAAAGGTGGGATGAAGGTGGCTTAGGGGTGTAGGGGTTTAGGGGTTTAGGGTTTAGGGTGTAGGGTGGGATGAAGGTAGGTGGGATATTCCCAAATAGTCGTCCTTATATAAGGGATCCATAATCCTGCCTACCTTCATCCCACCTTTCGAGGCCTCCGAATGTTTCAGTTCCGGAGCCCTTCACCCAGGATTCAGGCTTTGGGGTTTAGGGTTTTGGGTTTTGGGTTTAGGGTTTTGGGTTTTGGGGTTTAGGGTTTCAGGGTCTTGGGTTTTGGGTTTGGGGTTCAGGGTTAAGGGTCGACGTAGAGGTTTGGATTGAATAGCTAAGAGTCTGATAGCTTCTATATACTATAATTACTAGAACATGCTTCCACGCTATGGCCTTCGCGATGGTCCCCAGTGTAGATGCCTTGGTATGCATGGTACCAGACCGGCAGCAAAAGCAGATCTTCTGGTGCCAGGCAAAGCGGCGCCACTACGTAATCAAGTGATGCAAAATCGCATCGCTGTTATGAGGGCCTGCGGCATTTCCAGGAAACAACCAGAAGCTCGCGAAGCAGAGGACACAGCCGGCCAGCTGCACAGGAGAGGTCACGTAGAACCACAGTCATCCTAAAATCCAGTCGTGGAGCAACTCGAGTGGTTTTTTTATATCACGATTTGTCTGATCGTGGAGGTTCCTTGAGGCGACTGCAAGCCCTACACAGCCGCAAAATCCAAGCCCCCCCCCCAAGCCCAAACCCTCTGGCCTGAGCCCATAGGTGTTTACTCCCACTGAGGAGTGGCATCGAATGACGAGGACGGTAACCAGCACGAGTGGAGCCTTCGATTGCGAGAAGGCCGGGTTTTGACCCTACACCCTAAACCCCTAAACCATCAATATCCTAAACCCTTAACCCCTAAACCCTAGCCCGAAACTGGCCCTATACCCCTAAACCCTGAAAACCCTACACCCTTAACCCCAAAACCCCTAAACCCTAGCCCTAAACTGGCCCCAAACCCTCGACCCCCGAAAAACCTAACCTCTAACCCCAAAACCCCCAAACCCAAAAAATCCTAACCCCTAACCCCGAAACCCCTAACCCCAAATAACCCCAAAGCTCTAAAAGAGCTCAGACCCTCGGAGGCTTTAGGCTTTGCAGCTCTTTTTCTTCATGTTTTCAGGGTTTTAGGGTTCAGCTTTTGGGCTTAAGGGGTTTAAGGTTCAGCTTTTGGGTGTAGGGTTTTAGGGTTCAGCTTTTGGGTTGTTCAGGGGTTTAGGGTTCCGCTTTTGGGTTTAGGGGCTTTAGGGTTCCGCTTTTGGGCTTGGGGGTTTAGGGTTTTGGGTTCGTCTTTTGAGGGTTTGGAGCTCTTGGACTTTCGGGGTTCTGTCGACATAAACCCTGAAAGAGGGGCTTAGAGTTCTGCATGAGGGTTTAGGGCTTTGAGGGTTTAGGGTGTAGGGTCTAGGGTTTAGGGTTTAGAGGTTTAGAGTTTAGGGTTTAGGGTTCAGGCTTTGGGACACCTTAACCTTACTTGGAGGGTCGGGGCACTTAGTAACTAGTTTTTTAGACTTATAAGTCTCATACCCCCCATTTGCAATCCCTTTTAGGGTACTTATAACTCTACTTAATATCTACTTACTAAGTCCCCCGACCCTCCAAGTACACCCTAAACTCTAAACCCTAAACCCCAGATCTTAAAGCCTACAACATCCCTTAATGGAACCCTTAAAGGAATCCCCAGAGATCCCTTAACCTTAGTGGTAGGTCCTTCGGTACTGTGTCCGGAGTTGAGAGTCTGGCTGCGGCCTCGAGGCGTTGAGGTTGGGGCGTGCTTTTGGGGGTTTAGGCCTAGGATATTTAGTGTTTAAAGTAAGTTTAGGGCTAGTGACTATGGCGAGGGTTTAGGGATTAGCTGTCTAGGTTTATTTCTAGGATATTTAGTGTTTAAAGTAAGTTTAGGGCTAGGGACTATGACTAGGGTTTAGGGATTAGGTTTTTAGTTGGAGGAGCTTCAGAACCGTATTTCGGATATCAGGCTCAATTCGAAAGCCAAAACGCCGAAAACCCTGCCAGGAGCGCAGCAGATTGTGCAGGAGGCAGGCAGCAGCATAGCATTGCAACAAGACCGGGCTGACTTACTGTATACTTACATCCAGCAGTATACCCATAGGCCCCTAAGTAGTTCCTTTTTATGGTTTATATTTAGAATCCTATAAGCCTAGGGTAATCCCCAAAAGGAACTACTTAGGGGCCTAGGGGTAATTATAGGTCCGACTTTACCAGGTGAAAGTCTGGGCAACTTTTTGATTTCCTGGGTGGTGGAACCTGTGCTGCTGCGCACATGTAGCTTCGAGGTTCCAGCTGTTCCCTTCGTGGGCATCGGCTGTTTAGGAGCTCTTTGTCTTGCGGACGAGCTGATGGTTTGTACAGCTCATTCTTTTGAAAACCCTAAACCCTAAACCCTAAAAGATGTTGGGGCTTGCCGAGCCTTAAACCCTAGACCGTACGGTAATACGGTAAATCCCAAGACCCCAGCCCTATATGCTAAACCCGAAACTCTGAACCCATGAACCCCTAAACCCTAAACTTTCTAAGCCCCCCCTATAGGAATGCAGGTGTGTGTAGCTGGGGTGGTCCAGGGCTTCGGAGTTGCTCGCTTTGGGTGGCAGGTCCTGTGGCGACTCCACCCGACTTTCCGCAAGCCCGACGTGAAGGTGCCCAGAAAGCACAATACTCCGTAGTATAAGAAGACGCCCTAAACCCTAAGCCCTAAATTATCGGGGATGTGAGATTAAGATTTAAGGTAGATTTCTTCGCAAAGTTTGTTGGTTCGGCCACTGTTTATACCCTAGGCTTCAGCCCCCAACTACCACCCTAGAAAAGTCCCGCCACTCGTTGACCGCAAAAACCGCCAAACCCTTCAAAGTTTAGAGTCAGCGTATGTTAGAGTCCTTGGCAGCCTGGAAGCCTCGAAACTGTACACTTTTAGGGTTTAGGGTTTACCTTAACCCCAAATAACCTACCTGTTTAAGGACTTATATAGTGAAATCACAATAAAGAACCCTAAAAGGCAGGTTCTTTAGGGTCCAGGTAGGGTTTTATGTGTTTTTGTTGACCAACCTTGGGTTTACACCACCTGAATCACCTAGCAGACGCAACCCCAAACTCCGAAGCCAGAGAGCCCCATACCCCCTCAATTAAAGAATATGCCTTACTTTAGGAGGGGCTTTATATTATGACTTAAGGTCTATTCCTTAATTAAAGGAGTATACCTCAAATTAGAAGGGGCTTAATATTATGATTTAAGGTCTATTCCTTAATTTAAGGGGTATACCTTAAATTATAAGGGGCTTAGTATTATGACTTAAGGTCTATTCCTTNNTAAGGGGGTCTTGGGCTCTCTGGGATAAAGCCAAAATCTTTCCGAGCTGCAGCCCCAACCGTAGTTGGCTTAGGGAAACCAAACCTTCAAGGGGCAATAGGAGGGGTTTAGGATTTAGGGTTTA